CTTCCGCCTCAGCCTTCCAAGTAGCTGGAACTATAGGCGCGCACTACCACGCCCGGCTCATTTTTTGTTTTTTTTTTTAATTTATTGTAGAGATGAGGTCTCACCAAGTTGCCCAGGCGGGTCTCGAACCCGCGGGCTCAGGCAATCCACTTACCTCAGCCTCCCAAGGCACGGGATTACAGGCTGAGCCACCAAGCCCGGCTAATGTTTGTTTAACCTATTTCTTTCATTATTTTTCTGGGTTTTGGCCCCTGGTAGAAAAATGGTTTGGAAACACAAATAAGAAGATAATCTCTGCTCCTGTCCACCGCTGAGCTCCACACAACTTGCCCCTGCACCCTCCTTCAGACCATGGCTGCCAGCTTGCAGGCTCACGTCTATCCTACCACCAGCAAACAGGGAAGAGCCTCATCCCTTAGCTCTGAATAAAGACTCCCAGACAGGAGCCTCCACTGGCCCAACCCCAGAGCCAGGGAGGGTGGCACACTGAGGTGGGCCCACTCTGAACCATACGCCTTCAACCATGGGTAAGAACGGTTTGCTTTAAAAAGGTTCCGATTCAGGGGAATGAAGGCAGTGTCACAGGCCAAATACCACCTTGTGAGCGTATGCTTCCCTCTTCTGTGGTAGGTTCCACCCTCAGAAGGACAAGCTCTTTCTGACTTAGTAAAGCTGTACCCTGGATGGAATTATGCCTGAAAACTTATCTCTGATACTGCCGTATTTTCAGGGAGGATGGAGGGAAGCCAACCATGACAGAAATGCAACAATCATTTTTCATTCTTCTTTTCTTCTTATATCCCACCAAACTCACTTGGGTAGGTACTAATTATGGTTCGTTGGATAGTGCTTTGGAAAAAAGCCAAATAAGTAAACAAATATCTAACAACCCGATTCCCAAAAGCCAGATGGGGAGAGAAGAGGCACCAACCAGCTTCAAATCAAGCGACAAACCAACTCTGAGCAAATTTTCTCAACTCCGGGTCTGAATCTCCTATTTGGCAATTAGCATTTGCTACCATTTATTGTTAATAATCTACTAATGTCTTGTTTCCACAATTCAACTGAAAGCCACTTGTAGGCAAGAGCCATCTTAAATCTATTTTTTTTGAATCGGGTTCTCACTCTGTCACCAGGCTGTAGTGCAGTGGCATGATCACAGCTCTCTGTAGCTTTAACCTCCTTGTCTCAGGTGATCCTTCCACCTCAGCCTCCCAAGTAGCTGGGACTACAGGCACACACCACCATGCCCAGCTAATTTTTTGTAGAGACAGGGTCTTGCTAAGTTAACCAGGCAGGTCTTGAAGTCCTGGGGTCAAACAATCCTTCCGGCTCGGACTCCCACAGTGCTGGGATTACAGGCATGAATCACTGAGCCCAGCTTTAAATCTCTTAATGTTCTCTTCTCTTATACAAATCCTTCTCATTTCATGCTTAAGTCATCTGGCTTTACTCTCTATCATCAAATTTTTGCCAACTCAGAATCTTCTTCTCCACCTCATTTCTGGACCACTCCTTGGGTGACTTACTCCAATACCTATCCTGATGATCCTTCCAATTACTCCATCTTGTAGCTCCTTCACTTGCCTTAGCTCAAACAACCTCTTTATTCCACATTAGCAAGCTATTTGCATAACCACACTAATCCTCCAAAGCATCCCCTCCTTTGAAATTTCACCCTGGAATCACAAGTTCCTATGTAATATGGCGGTTGAAAGCTTGTTCCAATCTTGCTTCTGCCATTTGCAAGTCATGTGACCTGGATGATTTACTTATGTGGTCATTGCCTTAGTTTCCTCCTCTGTAAAAAGGGGAGCACAATAGACCTACTTTGCAGATGTGTGAGGATTAAATTAATACTGCAGTAAAAGCACAGAGTAAGTGTTCAAGAAATACTTGCTTTTATTACCTGTCTGCTTTTTCAACAGTATTAATTTGATTTCTTGCACCCCATCCTTGAGGGTTCTCTAATCTCCTAGTCTACTCCCCCCTCCAGCATTCCTTTCCCTGCCGACCATAGAGGCCACGAGCTTTCTTCTGTCAGGACCTTGAATTCACTCAGAACTTGCCTTGCCTGCTATCCAACTTGAGGTGAGTGTACTTATCCCAAGTTCTACTGGAGAAAATGACATAAATGCAGGGACTACAGTTTCTACTCTCTTTATACCCTCTCACTACTTCCCAGCATCTTTTACAAAATTACCTTGCTTCCAGGAGGGCCTCTGTTGACACTAATAGATTGGGCTATTTTCACTGCTCTCTCATTTGCTTTTTAGACATTAACAATTTACCTATCCTATTAATGCATCTAGGTTTATCTCATTATTATCATTATTGTTATCTTAGAGACAGGGTCTCACTCTGTCACCCAGGCTGGAGTGCTTGGTGCCATCATAGCTCACTGCAGCCTCCAACACCTGGGCTCAAGTGATCCTTCTGCCTCAGCCTCCTGTGTACCTGGAACTATAGGTGTATACCTCCACACTTGTCTAATTTAAAAAAAAAAATTTTTTTTGTAGAGATGAGTTTTACTATGTTGCCCAGGTATGGCCTTGAACTCCTTGTCTCAAGTGATCCTTCTACCTCGGCCTCCCAAAGTACTGAGATTATAGGCATGAGCCACTGTACCTGACCTACCTCATGTTTTAAGTGCCTAGTATTACATTATAGTGCCGTATTTTAGCCATTCCACTGTTGGGATGGTTGTTTAAAAGATTCCCACAACTAATGGCTTTGTAATTGTTACATCCGACGGCCACTCTTCCACCTTCATTCTACCTGCTCTTTCTGCCATCTGACACTGTTGATGAGGTCTGAACCCCACCACCCCTCCACAAGCTGTTTCCCAGGTACCCACCACCCTGCCCATCCTCTCATCTTTGTCCTTTCTTGGTCCTTTTCTCTCTCCCCACCCCCATCTGCAGTCTGTCTCTTACATTTGGGGCTTTCTGGGCTTCTACCTTTAACTGTTGTTTTTCATTTTCTTTTTCCATTTTCGCTGGGCATTTCCATCCACTCCCAAATATTAAATATTATTCTTTTCGCTATTTCTAATCTATCCAGTCACTCTCCTGAATTCCAAATGTGAATTTCAAATTGCCTACAGTGCATTCTGACCAGTGGGCCCTACAGGCACTACAGATGTAATTTGTCTAGAATAAACTTAATGGTTTTCTTATTTATATATTTATTTAATGCATTTGCTTATTAAGAGACACTCTGTTCCCCAGGCTGGAGTGCAGTGGCATGATCATAGATCACTGCAGCCTCGAACTCCAGGCGCCATCCATCCTTCTGCCTAAGCCTCCTGAGTAGCTAGGACTACAGGTGTGTGCCACCACATCCAGCTAATATTTTGTTTTTGACAAGGTCTGACTATACTGCCCAGGATGGTCTTGAACTCCAAGGCTCAAACAATTCTCCTGCCTAGGCCTCCCAAAGTGCTGGAATTCAGGTATGAGCCATGGTGGCCCTTTTTACATTTTTATTCTCCTCTCATTCACCCCACCTCTAGCTGGCCCCTCCTCCGGGGGAAACACATGATTTTTGTAAAAGTATAAATCAGATGCAATGATTCCTTTGCACTTGGTATGCGGCTCTCTGCCTAGAGTCCTCACATGGCTACCTCTTGTTTACCCTTCAGATCTTGGCTCAAATGTCACCAGAGAGGCTGTCCTGAACACCTGAGCAAAAAGCATGGCTTCCCCATCCCTTTTTCAATTACTCTCTATCCAGTTACCCTCTTCCCATGGCACATATCACTATTTGACACTATCTTCTGTATTTGCTTACACACTGCTTGCCTGTGTCCCTCCTCTAGAATTGCAAGTTCATGAAGACAGGGCCTTTGTCTAGTTCCTGGGTGTCACCAGAGCCTAGAACACCTAAAACTCAGCAGGACAGTAAACATGTGTGGAATGAATAAAATAAATCCACTTCCTTGAAGGAAAGGTCCTGCTGTTAAATTTAGAACTACAAGTGTGACATGTTTCCTTCTCCAGCCCACTCTAATTCAGGTCATTCATATTCATAAACAGATTATCTGTGAATTACAAGCTGATCTCTGAAAAGAGAATCTTAATGGCAAGCTAGCCCCACCCACCATCCTCACGACTATTGTTTCACATTGAATCAGACAGAAATCATAACCACCACTTTCTGTGAAAACCACTGCTGTGGGGCGGGAGGGGGTATAAGTCAGTGGTCACAAAGGCAGGAGCAGATTTGATCCCAGGACACAGAGATGGGTACTCTCTGGCTGACACCAGATTCCCTTGGATTCCCAGGGTTAAAGGAACCCACCATCCCACATCCTCCCATCTGAACACACTACTGTACTAGATATTTCACATGCATCCTCCCCAATTCGCTCCACGGCCGGGCCTGCTAGTCCTCCCTTTTACAGACGAGGCATAAGACACTCAGAGGAGCCGCTAGCTTGCCCCCGAGCTTGTGCAGAGGGCCTTCGGGCGGACGGCCCCAACCCAGGTATCAAAAGCTTCAAGTTCAAACTCCGTCCGCTTGAGCTACTTTATTTCCTAGCTGCCCTCAAGAATCCTCAGTGTCCTTTTTGAAAACAAAACTCGGAGCCCGCACTGGAGGAGTCAGAAGGAAGCACGGAAGGAAGGCGAGCCACCACCAGAGTAGCACGCGGGGCTCTTTAGGGACCCGCCTGGCTTGCAAAAGTGGCTCCTGGCGGCGGTCGGCAGGAGTGGGGACCCGGCTCGGGAGGCGTGACGCTGGAGGAGCGCGGGTTCCTGGCCGAGGGGGACGGAGAAGGGACACTGAGGACACGGGGTGAAGGGCAGTTTTAGGTGTGTCGTCAGATTGGGGGCGGGGAGGGGAGGACCGGGTCTGAGGATGGCAGCGATCCCCGCCGGGAGCGAGCACAAAGCAATGGCCGCTCTCCCCCGAATGCGTTTCGGGCATTTAATCTCAAAGGAGGGTGCCGGGGAAGGAGGGGAGGGGCGCGCGCCCCGGGATCGGGAGTTTGCATTTACCACGACGCCTCGCCCGTAGTCTGGCGCCTCCTCTCTGCTCCCGGCCATGTTTCTCCCGGGAAAGCGGGAAGGGAAGAGGCGCGGAAGGGACCCGGGGGGGCGAGGGCGAGGGCGGGGAGGGGGA